CATAAAGCTTTTCCTGATCTTATATGATGCATCTGCCTTTGGTACAACCAGCCATACTAACACAGAGCTCTTGAGTAAATGATAGCTTGCCTTTTATTTATTTAGTTATTTATTTATGTGAATGCAGCCACCTTAGTTCAACAATCTTAGTTCAACATGTTCAGTTTTCAGTTGTCAAAATGGCCTGTGATTTAATGTGTTTGGGAGCCTGCTTGATTGATAAGGCAAATAACAGTTTACAAAGCTTTCATACTGCTCTTTATGTTGTAGACTGTAGTTCTTTTAGGACTAGGAGACAGGAGATAGTCAAGGCTTTCCTTGAGGAATAATGGCAATTATTGAGAATCACTGAGAATCACTGAAACATTCTTGGGTTGTGAAAGGGTCTTCAGGCAATTCTCTTTCCTTTTACAAGTGTGCACTCCACTCAGTTTAGAAGTGCACTCCAATAGTTTCTTCGTAAAGTTTTCATGTTAGGCTAGAATAGACTGTTTCAATTGACAGTGGTCATCTTGTGCAGCCACTTCAGGGCTGACCAAATGCTAAAGCACATTAAGGTCATTGTCCAAATGCCTCTTAAACACTGACAGGCTTGGGGCATTAAAAAAATCTAACTTTGCTAAAAAAGTAACAGGAACAAAAAGTTAAGCTGTTGATGACTTTTATTGACTTTCAAACTGTATAGCCTTAAAATTGCTTTGATTGAGTTTCCACAGTATTTTTGTTTTGTTTTGTTTTTCAGTAGAATATTTTATTTGGAAGTAGAATACAGCAAGTTTTCTGCTGGTAATTTACTTGCAATTCAGATTCATGCTATTTCAGTTGAGCTGAAATACTCTGCAAAATTCTTTTCTGAAGTCAGACTACAGCCTGTTTTCTTATTCATTTACTTTGATGTCCCTTTTTATCTCAAGGGAAAGCTCTTTGCTGTTACAAAAAGCAGGGGTTGAAGTATATAAGCAGATTTTTCAAGAAGTACAAAAGCCCAAACGAAGAAATCAGATGCATGCTAAGATGTTTTAAAACTTCCAGAAACTCCATGTTTTAAAACCTTGAATTTTTCTTCAAATTTAGACAACTCTTAAGCAAGTTATGTAGTCAATGGCTAAGAGGGGAGTTTGTAATTTTGGCTAAGGAGACTGAGTTTGTCATTTTGGGTCAGTGGTGTCTTTTTGGAATAACTTTTTTTTTTTAACAGTAATTTAGTAGGAGAATTGTAAATAACCCAGAGGAGGCTGACAGCTGAGATTTCATCTCTGGTTAAAAACTGACAAACCCACCAGTTTCATTTGAATTTTCACTTTTCAAAATACTGCATCAACTTTCAAGTGAGCTTGTCTAAATTCTTGCTTCTGCATATTTAAGAGAATGTATTGCTACAAAGGAAAAAAGTTGACAAATTACTGGTTCAGTTGACATAGTGTTGGGAGAACTGTACAGCATCTGGCCAGCTAAAATATTTAGGCTTTAGCTTCTGGAGTTTTGCTGAACCAAATAGAATTTAAGAGAAAAATGATGAAGAATTAATGCTTTCAGTTCTCAAACAGTTTCTTAACAAGATATTTATTTTATTTTTCTGGCTTCCAGAGAAAAGTGTGGAAGATCTTCTCAAATCAATGTAAAATAGTATGTAATTCTTAAATAAAAATGTGCTCATATCTGAAATTATTGGAGACCAAATGTCTTCAACATTGGCTACAGCTGCTGTTAGAGGGATGTTTTATTTGTCAGAGAACAGGCAGATATCTTTGGGGTTCTTTCATCAGTGTTGTAAGGCCAATAACTTACTGTCTGAATTCCTTCTTCTGTTTTCTTAACTCTAGATTTCAGTATGAGAATCAGAACAGAATTCATAATCCTGTAGAAAAATAATCTTTTTGTTACTGATGGTGATCACTGACCTCTGTTTTCTCTGTGATCAGTACTCACCTTTTGGCTGTAATAGCAACCAAAAAAAGTTTTTCATACTTCTGGACAAGAAATCAATTAAATTTCTTTTGGTTTTGGAAAAATCTCTGATCAATAAAACACGAAATAGTCTAACCTATTTTGAAAATATCAGGTGCACTATTGACTTTTTTTAACATACAATGCTTACAAGTCAGCTTGTGATAGAAATGGATATCTCAGTTGGAAAGGACCTACCAACAGTTATTTAGTCCAAATGCCTGAGCACTTCAGGGCTTACCAAAAGCTAAAGTATATTATTAAGGGCATTTTCCAGATGCTTCCTAAATACTTTATGCTCTCTAGGAAACCTGTTCTGGTATTTTACCAATGTCTCAGTGAAGAAATGCTTTCTAATGTCCAATCTAAACATCCCTTGGCCCAGCTTAGGACCCTTCCCATGTGTCCTAGCACTAAACATCAGGGAGAAGAGCTCAACGCATCCCTCTCCAATTCCTCCCCCTTGGGAAGCTGCACAGAGCAGTGAGGTCACCCCTCCAACCTCTTTTTCTCCAGACTAGACCAACCCAAAGTCCCCAGGCACTCCCCACAGGACAGACCTTCCAGCCCTGTCACCAGCTGTGTTGTCCACCTCTGGATGCATTCTGAGAGCTCTGCATCCTTTTTAAACTGCAGGGCCCAGAACTGCACACAGCACTCCAGGTGAGACTGCACCAACCACTGCCTTTCCTTCATCTTGCCTTCATCCATGAGGAGGGTGGTTTTATCATGGAATGATACCACATGAGTTAAATAGTACTTTCTCTACCAATCTTGAGCTCAGTCAAAGTTTAAATAAAAATATATTCTTAAATTTAATCTTGTAGGCTCATTCTCAAGTAGTTAGTCAGGAACTCTGAAAAGTCAAATTAGAATATTTATAAACTGCTGATGGCTTAAGGGATGCTTTTCTAAAGTCTGAGACATGTGGTCACTGCTAACGGTGGTACTGTAAGAGTCTAAGAAGTATTTTCTCCTTTGCAAGTGCCTTTCAGTGTGAGATAAAATGTTATGGTTTTTTTGTTTGTTTGTAAGTAATAAGTATCTGAGCAATTTATCTTTGAAGTACTGAAAGTATGCTAAAGATATGAGTGTTAGACATTTAAATTTAATTTGTTTAGTTTAAAACTAGAGGCAGCCATATTATAAAACAAGTAACAAAATGCCAAATTACACATTAATCTCCAAAAACATGAAAAGTGCTAGCTCTAGTAGTGTTAGAGATGTAAATGTTTTAGGTCACTTAAGTTCACATAGTCAAAGAATTATTTTTTAATTTCATTTTGCATAAATAACTAGAAAAATACTCATAGGGTAGTAGACTTTAGATCTTATTGTATTTGTAATCTTAGGATTTTTTAGTTATGCTTGACTGAATAATATTATGCCTAATGGAAAAAAAAAATTACTATATATTTGTGAAGGATAGGTGCCAGGAGTTTGTGTCTTTTAGAGCAGCCTCCTTAACCTAGATATGTCTGGTTGAAGGAACTGTGAGAAGTTGACTACTTGTCTAGTATTTCTTGAAGAAATTAATGCTTTTGATGTCTCAAGTACCATGAATGCAATACCAGTTCAGTTCACTGGAAGCATCAGGACTGAACTACTTTGTTGGTTATCATTGGCAAATAAGAATAGCCTTCCTGCCAGAAACTCCAAAAAATCTTCCCAGTCTTCTAAATGCTGCTGACTAAAGCATCAATTCCCATGTCAAATAGCAGCCTAGATTCAGTCAGCAGTGTGGTGTGCCTAGCACTGTGTTGTGGGCCAGCATCTGTGTTCTGGGTTTGTTGGCACAAAAGGAATAACTATTTGGTTTTAATGAAAGAAGCAAAATAAAGATGGCAAGGGAAATGTTTTTAAGAGGTAGTGAACTATGTTTTTATTTTTCCATCTTCAAAATAAAGGACATTTTAGTTAATTAAGTTTTCTAAACATAATCAGAGCAGTAAAAAAAATAAAATAGATGTAAATTGAAAGAATTTGGGGGGAAAGCAGCCCTATTAACAACAGAAGTTGACTTCTATTCCTTTTTTTGCCTGATACGTAATATAGCAACAGGAAGAGTTTCAAATTGCTTGCTAAACTTCTACTTTCCTACCATTGCAATCCAAAAAGACTAGGAATGGATAGGTAGATAACAAAAGAGATATGTCTATGGGTGTCAGCTGAGTGGCTGGAATATTGACTGAGTTATAAATTCACTTAATATACTCCAGTCAGTATCTGTGTATTGGTTGAAGGAGGGTGATAGTGATGATGGTGAGCAGAAGATTTGAGGAAATCACCAATAGGAAGAAGGAAGGATACAAAATCCAGGCCCACTTACTTTACTGCGTGTCAAAGGCAAAGGGACTATTGCAGCAAATCAGTTTTGGTGTTTCCATCTCCCTTTTGGTCCCTTTTCAAGAGTACGTGTATGTATCAACACCAGCGGAATTTTGATTAAAAATTTTGTTCTTCAGTTCTCAGGCACTGACCATAATATTAAGTTAAAACTTGGGTTTAAAGTTGATATGTCTGATATACTGTCAAGTTCCACTCGTCTTTACAAAGTATTCAGAGGGCTCTTTCAGAAGACGTAACCTTTTTGTAAGGGGTAACCTTTTGTGCTTTTGTAAGGGGCCACTCCTGTGTGGCTTCTCCAAAGAAATGGTTTGTGTTTCTGTTCCGAGAAGTGTTCAGAAGTGCTGGGTGCTGGCTACTCGGGGTGCCCTGGTCTGTGGCTGTGGTGAGGGGCATCCCCCAATGCTGCCCTGCATGCTGCTGTGGTGAGGGGCATCCCCCAATGCTGCCCTGCATGTTGCTGTGGTGCAGCTCGCTCTCCCCTCGCTGTGCTGTGCAGGTGCTGAGGCTCCCAGCTCCTCAGGTGCGGCTGTGCCAGGCTCTGCCTTCCTGGCTGCGTTCCAGCTGCTCAGTACAAACCGCGTCCCATTCCAGGTGCCTGCAAAGCTGAGCAGCGCTGGACGCTTGTCGGATCTGTCAGCAGGTGTTCGTTTCCTCAAATGACCCAAATGGTGTTTTTTGTTTGTTTTTTTTTTTTTTCTCCCCAGAAAAGCTGATCGCGTACCAGCGGGAGTTTCACGCTTTGAAGGAGCGGCTGCGCATGGCGGAGCACCGCACGCTGCAGCGCTCGTCCGAGCTCAACGCCATCCTGGAGCAGTTCCGCAGGGCCGTGGCCGAAACCAACGGCAGCAAGAATGCAATGAACAACTTTTCAGGTGCGCACTCCTGAGATATTGTTGTATAACTCTGCGATGCCAATATCTCTTCTTAGTGCTATAGAATAAGACATTGATACCGTGGAAGCCAGATGAAACTGTTCAGCAACGTGAATAAAGAATGTGTAATATATTGTATCTGCTGTGGGTGTTTTCGTTTTTGTTTCTTTCCAGTTGTTGTTCTTAATGATTCACCCACCCTTATTCAGTCCCTAAAGTCGTAGAGAATTACTTACTCCACACCTAACTCCAAAAGTTTGGAACTTCTGGTTACTTATTTAATACATTGAATACATTTCGACAATTAATTTACATCACTTTTTAAATAGTCAGAGGGAAAAAGTGAGCAAACAGAAGAAAGGGATAAACTTGAAGCAGTTAAAATATGCTTAAAAGTCAACTGGAAGGTATTAAATCATATAGACTAAAGTATTGATTATGATTTATTAAAAGTATAGGAAATGGCCTTTTTAGTAACTAGTGATTAAATTTGTAAAATCTTCTGTAAGTTTTTACCCATTTTGGAGACGGATAGTCAGGTTTACCAAAAGCTATTTGCAATATTAGGGAAAAATACTGCAATATTCACCAGACTATTGATGTTAACTTTTAAAACAACAGTGTTACGGTTTCATTGCTCTTATTTTTGTGGATGGAAAATGAATAACAAATAAGTACAAATTTTCTGTCAAGAGGTCTGACTTGGTAGATTGCAGAAATTTCACTGTATTTGTCTAATAAGGAGTTGAAACCTGAAGGGTTTTGCAATTTAAAAGTCTGGAACAAGATTTTTGAATTTGTTGTCTACTTGCATTTGTGCTATGATTTACTATTTTCGATAGATTTTCTTCTTTTTGTTGTTGTTGCAAATGGTTATAATTATAGGCTCCAGTGCTGATGCCACTCATGAATTGCTGTCTGGCACTAATGGCCTGATCTCAGTACTTCCCTGGATCTCCAGGAATTGCACAGATAAAGGTTACATTTAGCATGGTCTATAAATCTTTTCTTATTTTATGTGTGTGGTTTTACTTTCAAAGTAAAGCATGGAGGAGGTAAAATAATTTTGTTTCTGGATTTAGGATTAAGTTATTATCACATTTATTTCTAAAATTGACTTAGCTTGCTTTTAGGCAATATACTTATAGGCAGTTATCCTCTTCTGATGCAGCTGAAAGTACTAATTCATTTAACATTTTATCATGTCTGGATCCCAGCTGGGATGGACATCCATGTTTTTCCATGTAGAGCCATAATGGGAAGTCAGCTGAATTACTGAGCTTTTGTGCTCAGAACATAGGTTTTTATTAAGCTTAATACACTTAAGTATGTGTAATACTACTTGCTGTTTTTGAAGCTGAAAGAATTCCAGATTGTTTTGTGTAGATTCTTATTCATTCAGACAAAGAGCTGTTATACTTGGACAGAATTTAGTCCAGGTTTTGCAGATGAAGTTAAAGAAATGTTAGCAGGAAAACTAAAATGTGCCTGAATGGGAGTCTATCAAAATAGACAAATCTACTTATGGCATCTATTTACAAAGCTTTTTGCAAGGTTTGAGGTGGTCAGGAATTTAGTTTCACCTAAAAATAAGTATTTTTGAAGTCCCCAAACACACAGAACCAAAATCCACAACAAAACCCATCTGTCTTTATAGAAGCTTTGCTCAGAACCTGAGAGGAATTACACTTTTGGCTTTCTTTTTCTTACTTCTCAATTTTATTTCAAGAAACCTTGACTACGGTTTTTACTTAACTTGATATTATAAAGCCCATAAGTTTTCAAAGATCCATATGCTATCATATTTGTCATTTGAAATGAGTCGTTTTCACACTTGATGCAAGAAAGTCAACACACACAGCAGGGTAATTAAAAAACCTGTTATTTGCAACTTTGAGAGCCACCTGGACATACTGAAAGGCAGTTGCACCAGAAAGAGCAAGAATGATTCTAATGGAATCCAATAGGATAATTCTATTCCAATGGACTAAATTAAATTTACTTTTTTTTTTTGCAAGAATACTCAAAATATCAACTATATGTTTAATGCTGTTTTATTTTGTAACTCTATGTGCAGTATGTTCCAATATGTATTTGCATCTCTGAAAAGTTATTTGCAGTAGGGTATGCTGGATGGTGATGACCTCTGTAAGCAAAAGTAAAAAATTATCTAGGGAAATAAGCTTCCCATTTGATTAATTGGGAAAAAACCCCAACAAAACCACCAGTCCCCCCAAATAAATGGAGCAGTCTTTACTTCTGTAAATTCACACTAAATCTTACGTGGTCATGTAAATATTACTGTATCTGTAACAAGGTTGTAGGTGCAAAATAATCTTGGACATCGTTTATTAAAAAAAATCAAAATAAAAGGCTTCCTTTGTAAACAAGATATAATGACTCAGAAAATGCACAATTTATTCTGGCTTTCAGTTAAGACCAAGCTTAGAATTTTTATACTGTTTACTGTTGTTTAAAATTTCATATAATTTGTTTTCTGCATTACTGATTTGCTGTATGTTTGCAGATGAGACGCTGAAATTGTTGAAAGAGCTAACAAGTAGAAAATCTCTTCAAGTGCCAAATATTTATTACCATTTGCCTCATTTGTTGAAAAATGAAGGAAGCCTTCAACCTTCTGTGCAGGTTGGCCTTGGAAGGACAGGAGGTATGCTGATATGATGGTTACTTCATGTTTTATGTCTGGAGGACCTTCTTGTTCTAGAAAAATAATTGACTGCATTTCTTGGTAGATGAAGGACATCCCATTTAACTTGTGTGATATTGATATCCTTTGAATTCTCACTGAATCCGAGATGAAAGGAGCTTGGTTTCAGCTTTGCTCTTTTCTGCATAATCTCAGTCACGCCCCATGCCATGTTAAGGTACACATTAAGAAGCATCTAATTCGGATGAATATTTGTAGCTACAAGGAAGCAAAGCTCAGACATTTCAAATTCTGAACTGGTAATGGATCTATCCCTTTAGCTTTTCAGATTTGCAGGGCAACCATGCATGGTTATAATTGTTTTAGCATTGATGTTTCTGTTGTTCTGAACAGTATATTTCAATGTATACATTAAAAGTTGAGAGAACTAAAATAATCAGATATAATTGCATCAATAAAATCTGAACAGTCATTGGAGAGGGAAAAAAATTTGATGTTGTAGTTACTCCTGGCTTGTAGTTTTTCATTATCTTGGTAGGTTAGATTTCTCCTTCTTTTAACAGAAGGCATGCCTGTATGACAAATGTGTGGACTCAGGCCACAGGTTTATTTTTCTGACTATAAATACCTTTTATTTCAGTGGTGTTGTTCAGGGAGGAAAAATCTAATAATCTGTTACTGTTTCAAGTAAAGTCTGTATTATGTCCCCCTGGGAATATATGGCAGAAATTTGGAATTACAAAATAGAAATTGGAATCAGGTTTATTTAATTAAACAGAGGGAGGAAATTCAGGGTTTCAGGACTTCATGAAGTCTGCTTTATCCTTTCACTGCATTCCTGCTGCTATCTGCAATGTTCCCGGTAGGTACCAGCCCTGGGTACAGTGGAGAAGAAAATCCATGGAAAAGTTAAGCAACACAGGACTCAAATGGCCTGCTAAGAGATGCTGTCAATAACATTGTAGCTGGGGATGTATTGCTTTGCAATTGTGGTGCTTTTGTCAGAGATAAGGAATGTCACTGAGGGACTTCCATGCAGTTCTGTTGTCCTGGACTTGTTTTTTCAGAAGAACCAAAACCATGTGCAAGGAAAATAATAGAAGCTTTCAGCAGTACTATTTTAAAAGATGACATCCAAGAAGTTAAATACTTGAGTTTGGAAGAATGGTTATACCAGGTTTATTTTTAAACTTAAGTTAGGGAGTTTAATCACTCTTGGTGCACCTTTTCTGAATAATACCATGGTTGTTGATTATTTCCCATTGTATTGAGGTTTGTGTGACAACGTTTTGGTTACAGGGATGGCTTTTCTAAGAGGGTGCCAGCAGCTTTTCCTATGTCCAGTGGAACCAATAGCCAGACCAGCACCACTGGAATAACAGATTGAAAAGGGGGGGGAAAAACTGCACAAGGGCAATTGCAGCTGGAGAGAGGAGCAAGAACCTGCAAGGTCAGTGCAGAAGGAGGGGGAAGAGGTGCTCCACATGTCAGGGCAGAGTCCCCTGCAGCCCGTGGTGAAGAGTGTGGAGAGGCAGCTGTGTCCCTGCAGCCCGTGGAGTAGACATCCACCTGCAGCCTCTGGAAGACTCCATGTCACAGCAAGTGGATGCCCAAAGGAGGCTCCATGGGAAGCTGACATGGGAGCAGCCTCCTGGCAGGACCTGTGGACCCATGGAGAAAGGACCCCACGGTGGAACAGGTTTGCTGGCAGGACTTGTAACCTTGTGATGGACCCACACTGGAGTAGCATTTTCCTGAAGGACTGCAGCCCATGGAAGGGACCCATGCTTGGAGCAGTTTATGAAGAACTGTAGCCTGTGGGAAGGGCTTACATTGGAAATGTTCATGGAGGACCATGTTCCATGGGAGGGACCCCATGCTGGGTCAGGGCAAGAGTCAGAGGAGGCCTTCCACTGAAGAGAAAAAAGTGGTGGAGATTATGATTAACTGAATTGCAGCCTCCATTCCCCATGCCCCTGTGCTACTGGTAGGGACAAGGTAGAGAAATCAGGTGTCAAGTTGAGCCCAGGACGAAGGGAAGGGTGAGGGAAAGATGTTTTAAGATTTGGGTTTATTTCTCATTACCCTGTGTTCATTTGATCTGTAATAAATTAACTTCCTCAAGTCTACTTTACCTGTGACAGTAACTGGTGAGAGATCTCTTCCTGCCCTTATTTCTACCCATGAGCCTTTTGTTATATTTTCTCTTTCCTGTCCAGATGAGGAGGTGAGGATGGAGCAGCTTTGGTGGGTATCTGGTGTCCAGTCAGTATCAGCCCACCACACCTACACAATAGTCTGGCGTGTCTAGGATTGGGTTTTTTGGTCTGCTGTGTTTGTTCTGAGCATTGGTGTTAAATGTTAGTCATGCTCCTGATGCTGAGTGGCATATTTTTAAACTGTTTTTAATTACTGTAATCTCCACCTTTTAAAACTTTGCATTTCTTAAGCAATGCCTTATGGCAAGATTTTTGTTTTCTATCTTGTGTTTGAAATCACTGAAAGTACTTTTCTGGTTTGATTTCAGTTTCCATTGTAATGGGAATACCTACAGTGAAAAGAAAAGTCAAGTCTTACCTTACAGAAACTCTGCACTCCCTTATTGATAAGCTGTCCCCTGAAGAAAAACTGGATTGTGTTATGGTTGTCTTTATAGGAGAGGTAATCACTTAAATATTTTTATACAATTTCTAACCTGCCTTTAATCACAAGTAACACTCCTTTCAGGAACTGATGAGGATCTACCTTTTCTTCAAGATGCAGACAGATGACTCTCTCCTTCCAGGTAAAGGAAAGTGTCAGTCTTGGGTTTCTGAGATGCAGTCCTGAAGAGCCCAGCTTTTTCTCTTCATCAAGAGGAATGGTGGACATGGATTCAGTAGCGTGGTTATTTTGCAAATCTTCTTATGTTTATATGTGGTGACAAAGATGTGATATTCCTTCAACATAAGAATGATGGCTAAGGAACTCTGTCACAGGGGAGGATTTCTCCCATTTTCTTTATGCTGCTGCTTAGTCCTCTGTCAAACGAGTGCTGCAGTTCGAGATGTGAGGCACAGATTGTTATTGAATTAATTTTCTGGACAATGTGGATATTTGAAGCCCAGACCTTTTTAATGGATTAATTCAGTGTTCAGTTGGACTGTTTGTTCACTTTGGCTCTGATTTAGTGGAAATCAAATTTAGGAAAATGATAGAGTACTTTCAGAAATAATTCTGTTAGATGCTGGGAATTGCATGTACCTATTTTGTTCTCTATGCTTTTCTCAGAAGTCTGACTTGGACAGTGGGAAATTTATATTTGTTTGACCTTCATCCATCTAACTGTAGTGCTCTGCTGAAACTGTCTTTTATAAATCCCACAGACAAAAATTCGAATCCCCAATTATAACTGAAAATGGTTTTGATTTAGTGAGCCAGTGTCCATTCAGGGATGAATCAGTGGAAAATCAGGCATTTTAATACTTCTATTATCAACATATTTTAAAACTTTCCTTGGAAAGTTTGTAAATGTTTTGCTTTTATCTGAGAACTGTTTCTTAGTATCTTCTATTGCAAATTGCTCTATTTTCTTTTTTTGACAACCAGTCAAAAACTATCTGTCTGGATAGATATTGTTTTTCTGGGGGGGAAAAAAGATGCTTATAAAACAGCTTTTGATTGAGAATATCAGGGAGACAGAATTCTTTCTGAATTACTGGAATGCTGTGCTTTTCTTCACTGTATTAGAGAAATATTATTGCCTGCGAGTGTGGCTTCTTTTCAAGGTTTAAAACTGAAGTTTCTTTTGTTTTATGTAAGGAGATCTGAGCTATGGGGACTGTCTGTTATTACTGGATTCTCAGTCTTCTACAAAATTTGGAATAGGAGTGAAGTGTCCCCAACTGCACCATCTTTTGTTGCCTTAGACAAGCCATATTGCTGTACCTGGGTTTTCCATAGCTGGAAACTTTCTTCCTTTGAGGTGGTGTGGAATAATCTCAGCTTGGGAGTGATTCTACAGAAGTGGCCACCAATGAACTGAACATTTTAACATGGGAGCTACTGCTCCTGTGCCCATGGAAAGTGGTGTGGTTGGCTCTGGAGTGGGGTACAGTGACCCCTGTGTCTTTATTCCACTTTGAGAGCACTTCTGTGTGCTTATTCAGGTACCTGTTTTGGGCACCAAAAGTCAGGAATGTATGGGAACATTTGAAAAACCAAAGTTTAAATTGTTGTTCTCTTGCAACCATTTGCTAGATTTGCATTTCTTTTTCTTTACTCCATCCAATTTATTAGCATTCCTTCTTTATTCTTGGACCATGTTTTTTTATTTTCTTAAGCTCAATATCTTACAGTTTACTTTGTAATTGCTACAGGGAACTCTCTACATGATTAATATGGTGCATTAAAAACTTCATCCTGAATTATGCTGTGCTTTTTCTGAGTTATTCTGTATATTTCAGTTTCCTTCTGCAAGATGAAAAGTGTAAGTTTATTAAGCATTTTCTCTGGCTGGTTGAAGGAAGACCTACTCCTCTGGTAGACTTCTGTTTCTCCTTAAACAAAAAGAAGGGCTGTGTCTTTTAAAATAGCCTTGTCTGTGGGGTATCCTAGCCTGAAATGCATTAGGCTATTGCAATCATTAACACATGCAATAATAAGGGCTTATTTAAAAATACATTAGAACTTTTACCAGCTATGTTTGTATTAAAAATGATGTCAAAAGTTTCTAAAAAAAGGCATGGCCTCTGCTCAAACATATGCAGTTTAAGAACAGCAAGAAATGGTCATAGGGTGAGGTTATGTAATTTTGCTAATAAGCTTAAAATTACTATCTGTGCCTTGTCTATAGCTTATAGAAACAACAAAAAAATGAGCACAAGAGTACAAAAATGGTTTTAGAGGAAAATTATAGGAAAAATAGCGTTTATAAAGGATTTTAGTATTTACATTGCTGTCTTTATTTGAGAAATCAAATTTACAGTGTTTAAGAAACATTGCTGGGAGCTACAGTCATGGACTGTAATCTCTTTGTGCTAAGCACACTACAAAACTCTCCTAATACTGCTATTTTTTTAGTAGTTCAATCTCACTCATTTCTTGTAATTTCATTTTTTACTAGAAAACAAATTAGAAGGCTAATGGCCTTCTGCAAACAGCCTCAACAGTGTAAACAGAGGAGCTAGTAAATATAGATGCATTATGGTTGCTAAATAAAGAGATCTGCATATTCATTTACTGTAAGAATATTTCTCAGTAATATAATTGTACACAGTAAATTTCCATATTGGAAGTTCAAGAAACTCTGAAATATCTCAGCTGATGTGATAACTAATCACCAGTTTAAGTAATTACTAGAATTGCTTGACAGTAAACTGTTCAATTGTCCTAGTTACTGACATATGTCTATGTTCTCCAATTTGTTAAAATAACTTTATGGCAGAATAATTTGCAGGTGTTCATTAGGATGACTAATAAATAGGTATGATTCATTATTCCTTAATACTTCAAAATCTTTTTATACCCCCTCACTATGTAGCTAGTTCCTACCTCATATGAGTTGAAAACAAATGATTCAAATCTCATTAACCTGCTTTGTATGAGAACTTGTTTTCAGAATAAGCCATAAACTCTAGGTTTAAGAAACCATGAACTCTGGGTTAAACTTGTTATCTAGTATTTTTATTTAATAGGGTTTGCAATTAACATGGGAAACATGGTCTTGAAGCACTTTATTGTTTCACTATGATAATTTAGACATATATATATACACACACACAACTGAATATGAGAGAAATGAGAATATTTTCCTGGTATCTAAGCAAAATGTTGAGCTTTTTCTGTGGGGAGATCTCATGTACAATGAAGAAAATACATCTTAGACTTGTTCTAAATATATCAGAAATTATTGTCAGTCCACTTCATTAATCAGAAATTGCACTTAGCACAGTCTTTTGTACAAACTGTAATCAGTGCATGCTGGATAGACTATAAGCCCTTGATTTGACCAAAAATATCAGAAGGACAAATCATTTCAGGAAGAATTGGAAGACACTACAGGTATGCAAAAGCATTTTGCTATTTCTGTCTGCTGCTGATTACATCTGACTAGGTAGTAATTGACCAGCCATTTGTTCTTGGAGCATTAGGCCACAAATTATTCTTTCTTACACATTCCTTATTTATATCTTACTCTTTTGTTTCATGTATATACAGTTCACTTAAACTGGAAAAATTTGCATATCTTGATTATCTTTTACTGTCACTGTGTTATCTCTTTATGTAAATAGTGGCTGCTAAATTAAAAGATGTTGATCTTTAATAGTGTTTTCTCTCTGCTCCTTCTGTGGAGAATCTTCTTTTATTTATTATTTCTTTGGAAAAGTTTCTGTCCTGGTTAGGTCAGTGTGACACAAGCACCCAGCAAGGTACCATCATGTGTACTGATATGATCAAAGCCTTAGCAAATTAAAGACTGGGTGCATGTACTGGGTCGAATCTTGCTAAACCTGTTTTGCAGGTATTGACACTGTAGTGCAATATGTAAACCTTGTCCATGAAATAAACAATTCTGTATTTTCACCTCTTCTTGCTCTGGGCCTGAATTATGGTTCTCTCTGATTAGCAGCTCTCTTGATAGAAAACAAAAGAGTATTGACTGTATTAGCATCATCCCAGGTCCAGAGATGTTCATGCTTTCTGCTAATTGTTTGTGAGCTGCCCCTTCTTGGAACTGCTCTGGAGAGTGTATTCCCAGTCCTTGAAAATCTGACTGTGCATCTTGAGTTGGAGAAAATCTGGTAGATCTTAGTGTATACATACATATGTGTAATGTATATATATTTTTCAAAAAATCAAAGCTGTCATGTCAAAATACATTATCATGACATCAATAATATTAAAGGCCTCCACAGATGGGAATCTTTATTTTGGACTTCTCACTCAAAAATTGGTCAGGATGAACACACCTTCTTGATACACTGCCAGCTCTTCTATCTGTAAAGGTAGCTTGACCTGTCAGTGAGAATTTGAGATATTTGTTTTTGCAATCCCTGCTCCTTTGTCACCTAATCTTTAGTTCACAGAAGTATGGACTGCTGATAGTGGACACCAACATAGGATTTTATGCTTCTCTTTTCATGTCAGTGACTAGCAAAGTTTCTATAAGGAATTAAACCAGTGATAAAAATCTTTCTTAGATCTAAGAAAAAGATCCTTGACAGGATTTGAAAACTTGAATGTACCTGAGACAAATTTGGTATCTCAGCACAAAGATAAAATCCAGGATTTTGCTCTTTCCCCAAGCCCTAGACTTGTATGACTGAAATGCTTCTTTGAGATACTTGCTGAGGTGCACCTACCTGATCACTACCTGATTAAAGGAACATCACTATTGATAGCCAGAGTTGTGTCTGATGTCTCTGGTGATATCTAGGGTATTTGTGAGGTGGGAAGTAACAGTCATAATCTTATTTCGGAAGCATTGTAGCAGGTGACTTCATACTTGTTTGGTGGACTGAATTGGCACTGAATTTTGGACAGCACTATCAAGTTTTGCTCCAGTGGTCTGCCTTGACCTAAAAATTCCTTCTATCCTCCAAATAAAGAGCACAAATCATAGAAGGGTACCTTAGACTGTACACAGCAACTGCCTGTCTTCTGGAAGACAAGCTGTCTAG